GGGAAAATCACAGTAGTTGGTTGTATACTATCGTTTAAAAAACTTGTACAGAAGTAAAACACTTCACATTTGTATTTAGATATATACCTAAATACAAATGTGAAGTATTTTACTTCTGTATAAGTTTTTTAAAACATTATATATAATTTCGTCAAAGTATCTTTCTATTTTAAAAACTCCTATAATTTATACAAAAAAATGTGGCAACTTCGATGCCAAGGTTATGTTCATTGTACTCAAATTCAATTTAGCCTTATATTTATTATACTCTGTATGGTAAATTACATAGAAATTCATTATAGTTACCTTGGTTCTGGTGATTTATGGTAAATATTTATTGGAACAGTTCCTTTCCTCAAATTAATCCGTCCACTTGGCTGTATAATTAGATCATGCTTTTTAAAGTGTTCTGACCAGACCGTAGCATTTTTGGATATGTGTTCTTTGTTTAAGCCAAACACAGACAACCACATATCGAGCAGCAGTTGATTCTTTACTGGGAACCTGCATATATTTCATTGAAATTAATATATTTATAGCAATTATAGTGTAGATTAGAAAAAATAAATAAATGTATTTATAATACTTCAAAATTAAACTTCAATTCATGTCAAGCATTAAGTAATATCACATCCCTGTACTACGCCCATGTACATAATTTCGATGTTTATAGTACTTACGAATGAAATGACAGTTCTGGATGTAAATATGAAGATTTCTTGCATACAACACAGTAACGCACCAATATTACACTTAACTATAAACTATTCTTCAATTCTAATTTAAAATATATTAACAAATTCACTAAAATGTCACAAAAAGGAAATTATCAACTTGAACGTAAACAATACAACGCCATATTCTTTTTCGTCAAATCGCTAGGATTGGTTGATATTACCAATGATGCCAAGTTTTACAAAAGTTAAGATTATCAGAATATATTTTCTTTTAATAAATTAAAAAATTAATTTTTTTCTTTTAATTCCTTTGTTGCGAAATGAGTATATCTAAAAATAGTTTATACTAAGTAGATAATACATTTTTACTTATAGATTAAAAATAAATTATACTAAAAATCGAAAATTATTTCGAAGATTGACTCGGAAAAAAAAATAATATGACAACGTCAAATTAGGGATTTGTGCCTATGACTGTGAATATCTCATGACTTCAAGTAAATATGTAAATAGACCGGTCCATCTTTATTTATACGTCCATGATTTCTATTGATTCGCGTATTTCTCTTTTCTTTTGCTCGGTTTTTAAAATTGTGATGTTTTCAAAGTCAAATTTATACTTTCTCCCATTTTCATGCTTTGTAAACGCGGTTTGCCTAATATAGACATCTTCATGGACATTAGTACATGGTAACTCGTAAACAACATGCGATTTTTTTGAGTTTTAGAATTTTTGTTTTTGGTTTGGTGAAATATTTATTTAAAAGATTGTTGCGTTTATGAGCCATGCTTATGTTATTTTTAGCTAAAAGATTCACTAGTTGTTCAGACAAACCGTTTATATATGAAAGTGTTCTATACGTAGTCTTGGTATTGTTGGTCTTATTGTTATTGGTATTGTTGCAAAAAGACCAGACACAAACCTTATAGAAAAATACCCTTGGTTAAATCTACCCAATCTTTGCCATGTTGTAAGTATTCGACGTGTCAAACAAAAGTCGCAATGGGAATAAGACCCAAAAAGCAAAATCTTAGTGCCGTGAAGGTAATCAAAGTTGTTATTTACTTGAAGAATTTAATGGCGTGGGCTCGTTCTCGCGGTACAGTAGCACCAAAACAAAGATCTCCCTTACGAATATAATTAGAGTTTAAGAATGTATTCAGCGGAGGTATTTACTATGTCTTTGAGATTAATTCTAAAGATTATTTGGATTTTTCAATGGCTTTTTCATAAATATCAGCAATGTTTGTTAATACCAGGAGTCTACATTTTTTAAAGATATATTACTATATTTGGTAAAGACATAAAAGAATTTTTGGGGTAGCTGTTTCCAAATTATTGGTTTTACTCTTTATCAAATCGAGTTTGAAGATATTTTAAGGTTTATCTGAAGTTAACTGAAAGTCATATCAATGTATTGCAGGTATATGCAGGTTGAGAATAGTGGCGAACCAACTTATAACGTAGTCTGAAGCGTCTCGGTCGTACCAGTGAAGCGGACAAAGGACAATTCTGTATACATTTTCCGATTTTATTTATTATAAATCTAACACAGTGATCTTCATCAGTAAATTTTAAAATATCTTCGAACTCGATGTGACCGAGGTTAAAACGAATAATTCAGAAACAGCGACTCAAAAATCGTTTTGTGTCTTTACCTAATCTTTTGATACATCAATGAAAAAATAAAGATCTCTGTTATGAAGACAAAATGCTGATTTTCATAGAGAAGCCATTTTGACCAAACGACCTTACAAATTAATCTCAAGGACAGAGTAAATACCTCAACTGATTACATTCTCCATGTCCAATTATATTCATAAGGGAGATCTTTGACTTGGTGCTATTCATTACGTAACATCATCCGCGAGAACGAGCCAACGCCATTTAATTCTTACAGTAAATAATAACATGGACAAGCTCAAATTTTAATTACCTATTATGCATTGCGCCCATTGAGACTCCTGCTCGACACATGAATACTACGACATGGCAAAGTTTGGGCATATTTAACCGAGGCATTAAATATATATATATATATATATATATATATATCATCATCATCATCATCATGTGCAGCTTTATCGACCGTTTCCAATTACGGTGCAGCCTCCCTTATTTCAATGTTATTCTATGTTCTTATTAGTATTCGACGATGTCTTAGTTATGCGTTGTTCTTGTAATTTGCGCTCATTTGCGTCCATATTTTTCTATTTTGTGCTATTCGAGACCACGTTGTTCCTGTTAATTTTCTTATATCATAATCCCATCTGAGATTCGGGCGCCTCTTTGGTCTCTTAGCGTTCCTGGGATACCACATAGTTGTTCTAGTGGTCCATCTGTTGTCTGTTTGTCTTGCTATATGTCCTGCCCATTGCCATTTCAGGGATTTTATTCTTTGGATTACATGTCACCTGGGTTTGCCTCCGTATCCATTCAATTTTTTTACGATCCCTCTTTGTTATCCCTAGCATACATCTTTCCATTGCTCTTTGAGTTACTTGGAGTTTCGACGTTATTTCTCTCTTTAATATCCAAGTTTCACATCCATACGTCAATACGGGTAATATGCATTGATCAAATACTCTCTTCTTGAGGTATAGTGGCATTTTGGACTTGAAGACTATGGAGTTTCGTCCGAATGCTGACCACGCTTGTTTTATTCGTCTGTTGATTTCCGGAAGTAGTGATCCCGATTTATGTATGAGCTGTCCCAGGTATATGTATTCGTTTACTACTTCTAGCGAGGTTTCATTAATTTTTATTTCCACGTTGGCGATCAGATCATTGCACATTATTTTAGTCTTTGCTAGGTTCATTTTTAGGCCTACCTCATTGCTGGCTGTATTAAGGTCATTAATTTGTATTTGTAATTCTTCAGGACTTCTAGCAATTAGAATGATGTCATCAGCGAATCTAAGATGGTTTAGGTATTCTCCATCTATACATAGACCTTGGTTGTTCCATGGTTGGAAATTCTGGGGTATTTTTATATATGCTTACTCTAGCTGTGGCCTCTTTGTATATATTTGCTAGCGTTTCGACATATGGTTTATCTACTCCTTGGTCGATAAGAGCTTCTATGACTGCTCTTGGGTATACGGAGTCAAATGCCTTCTCGAAGTCTATGAATGCTAGCGCCAGTGGTAGATCATATTCTTTTGTTCTGCTCATTACTTCTCTTAATGTTTGAATATGATCCATTGTGCTGAAGCCACTTCTAAAGCCTGCTTGCTCTCGGGGTTGTGCAGCGTCAAGTGTGTTCTGTATTCTGTTGTTAATGATTTTGGTGAATACCTTGTATATCACAGGCAGAAAGCTGATCGGTCTATAATTTCTGATGTCTTCCTTGCTACCTTTCTTGTGGATGAGGATTATGTTGGCTGAATTCCACTTTTTTGGAATATGTCTCGATTTTAGGCAGTCTGTGTATATTTTTGCTAGGATTTTCCAAGTTGTTGTACCAGCAATCTTTAGAAGTTCGGCTGTAACGCCGTCATTACCAGCTGCCTAGCCGTTCTTCATGCTCTTAAGAGCTGCCTCTACCTCATCCACGAGAACATCTGGTACATCTTCTTGAACCGCAGTTTCTTCTTCGCCTATTTCTTGTACTTCCGGAGCTTTATATAGACCCTCGTAGAATTCGGTTACATGTTCTATTATTTCATCCCTATTTGTGATCCTTTCATTGTTGTTTCCCAATGCTATTATTTGCTTTCTGCCGATTGCTAACTTGCTCTTGGTTTTCCTATAGCTTTTACGGTTCTCGATTGTATTTTGTACAAGTCGTTCATTGTACGTTTTTATATCTTCTGCGATCTTTTTCCGTATTGCTTTGCACAGTTCGGTATATTCAATTCTATTAATATTGGAGTTGATTTTCATTTCTCTTCGTTGTTTCAGGAGAGCTGTTGTTTCATCTGAAAGTTTTCTATATATATATATATATATATATATATATATATATATATATATATATATATATATATATATATATATATATATATACTGAATTTAATAAAGCAATTTATACTTAATACATTTCCTACATATTTTTATAACATATTATTACCTTTTCAGTCTGATAAAGTTTATACTAAAAAACCGAAAAGGATAATAGACACTAGATAATAGACAATGACCAAAGAGACTGGTACCATAACTTTTTCGTTTAAAAGACTGTTTTTGAGACGATAGTGATATGTTGAATGGTGGTGATAGTGTTCGTGACAGACCCGAGCGGTCGATATTCGAGTTATCCGAAAAAGAAAGTTACATACAGTTCGAGGATTTTTATTAAACCGAATTTATTTTTTGAACAGGTCGAGCCTGGGGAGACTATCGCCACCACAAAAGAAGGTAAGGTTTTTTTATTTCATACTCTCTAATTTAGTTTTCCTCTAATGGTATTTTTATCATTTATTTATGCTTATTGCTTGTCATTGTAATAATTAATTTTTGAAGCATTATTTCTAAAAATATGTAAAAGTAAATATCAAGTCACAGTATTATTGTCCAAACTTCATTCAAACTTATGTGTGTAAAGTGGTTTTTATAAAACCACTTCAGACACTTCATATTTTATATATATATATATATATATATATATATATATATATATATATATATATATATATATATATATATATATATATATATATATATATAAGAGTAAGAAAAAAGAAGTACTTGTGACTCGTTTGGAAAAAATATAACACTGTTTTTGATGGGTTGGAGTCAATAAAAGGGGCTATTTGTTGACTATTTTTTACTCGAGCTTTCAATTGTGATTACAATTTTTATCAAGAGCTTCTAAAAATACAAAATATCTTACAAAGTTGAACTAGAAATAAATAATGTTGTTGTTAACTCACCAAATAAAATTAGTTATTTATATAAAACTGCTGCTAACATTATTACAAAAAATATTATTAAAAAAAATGTTCTATTCTAATAAATGTTTCTCTGACAAATTTAGATAAAGTTTCTTAACAAAAAACAATTGGATTTATAAACAAAAATTGAATAGCTACAATTCAGCCTAAATGACGTAAATAACAACTTAAAAATTTTTATTTTTGACATATTGTCAAAAATAAAATTTTTGTTTAAAAAATTCTTCTTTGTTTAGTAACAAAAAAGAAGAAGATTTATTCATCATTGATAGATGCCCGAAAAAATGTAACAAATACATGGAAAATTCAAAATGTGATATTTTACTGACTGCATAAATTAAATAGAAATTATATAATTATAAATTTTGCTTAAATTTTGAATTTCTGACCTTTTGTTTAAATTATTATCACTTTTGCTAATACAAACCATTTCCAAAAAAGTTCTTTTAAATTTATTACTTTCATTACATAAAATTTTAATATTATCAAAATCCATAATATGGTCTTTGTCTATTACATGCTCTGCCAAAGCACAAGATGGTTTCTTAATTCTACAATCACTCTTGTGAGAAATAATGCGATTTGAGAGATTTCTTCCAGTCTCACCAATATACTCAGCTTCACACTGAGTACAAACAATGCTGTATACTACATTTGTTTGATCTAATTTGTCTATAGGATATTTAGTTTTGGAATATAAAGATGAAATAGTTTTGATGTTCTTTGTTGCTATTTTTATATTGTCAATAACCTTTAATGTTTGTATTAATTTAGGAGTTAAAGATGGTATAAAAGGTAGTGAATGATAATATATGTTTTGATTGTTGGATACAGTGTTTTGAGATTTAGCAAAAAATGGTGTTAAGTTATTTATATTTAATAAATTAGAAAAAAGCATCCTATGTAGCATATCAGGAGGATAAGAGTTTTCAATTAAAATATTTTTTAACAAATGAAGATCTTCTTGTAGATAGTCTGGATGAGAAAGTTTTAAAACACGTTCCTTTAATCCTGTTATAAGGTTCATTTTCATTTTATTTGGATGATTAGAGTAATAGCTTATAAATCTATTACTACATATGGGTTTTCTGAACCATCTAGTTTTCAACATATTGTCTGTATTTCTTACAATTTTCATGTCAAGGAATGGTAGAGAATTATCTACCTCTTCCTCAACTGTAAATTGTATATGTTGATTATGATTGTTGAAAATGTTGACTGTTTCAAGAATTTTGTGTTTAGGAAGTGCCAAAACTAGATCATCTACATATCTTTTGATAAATGGAATGAAAAAAGTGCAATTATTGATACAATCACTAATAACATCATCCATGACATAGCTACTTAGAATGGGTGAAAGACTAGATCCCATAGGGCTACCAAAAATTTGTTTATAAAAAACACCATTAAATATAAAAATATTAGAATCAAAAACAAAGTTGATGAGTGTTTTAAAATGTAATAAGTCAATATTAGTATGTTGCGAAATCTCATTCCAATGTTTTTCAACACTACTTATGATTAAATTTAAAGGTAAATTAGTAAAAAGAGATGTTACATCAAAACTAACTAAAACATAATTTTGTGGTAATTGGAAATTATTAATGAAAGAACTAAAATCAAATGAATCTTTTATGTAAAAATTGTTGTTTAAATTATAAGCATTGGTTAAGATGTCAGTGAGGAGCTGTGCTATTGGTCCATTTGGAGGGCATAGAGATGAAACAATTGGTCTCATAGATAAAGTTGGTTTATGTATTTTAGGTAGAGCATAAAACCGTGGTGCAATAGAATTATAAATTTTGAGTTCTTTTGCTTTTTTTTTTTTATTATCAATAAATTTCTTACTGTTTAATTTTGATACCAGACAATTTGCTTTTTGTTGTAAAGTACAAACAGGACTCCTTCTAAGTGTAGTGTAATACTTAGTATCATTTAAGAGTTCTCCAGTTTTTTGTAGGTAATCCTCTTTATACATTACAACAGTTACGTTACCTTTATCGCTTTTGACAATATAAATTTCAGGATGATTTTTAAGAAAAAGTTTAGTTTGTAAATAATATTTATTTAAAAAATGATCTTTGACTTCTTTATGTAAAAAGTTTGTAATGACGTTTGTACATTTAGATCTAACAACATCCTTTTGATTGTCATTAAGTGGTCTGATTATTGATTCAATATCAGAAAGTAAATTAGGAACTCTAATATCAGATTTGGAAGGACATAAAGAAAATTTAGGTCCTAATGCTAAAAATTTTTTAATTTCAAAAGGAAACTGAATAGATGTTAGATTCTTAAACCATTTTTCTTGAAATTTTATCTTATCAAAAGCTTCTATTTTTAATTTATTGAACTTATTAATTTGTATTTTTTTGATTTTATGAAATTCTGTGTTATATTTAATTCTTTGTCTACGATTAAATTCATTAAATGTGTGGAAATTTAAAACCATCAAACTTGCTGCTTTACACAATCAGAAGACCTTTTTATTGAAATGTAGATCTAATGGATGTTTCCCTGGACATGTTACAAATAGCCTAGTTAATGTTAATTCCCTTTTACATCATCGCACTGGGAATATTCATCATGATGCTCCGAGATTATGTAACAGGTTTGGAAAAAATATTATTAATTTAGAGATTAAGATTACTTTTGCTGATATTAACTTTTTTGAAAGAAAATTACATGAGTTACGTACCAAGGCTTATAATATTTTAAATTTCCACACATTTAATGAATTTAATCGTAGACAAAGAATTAAATATAACACAGAATTTCATAAAATCAAAAAAATACAAATTAATAAGTTCAATAAATTAAAAATAGAAGCTTTTGATAAGATAAAATTTCAAGAAAAATGGTTTAAGAATCTAACATCTATTCAGTTTCCTTTTGAAATTAAAAAATTTTTAGCATTAGGACCTAAATTTTCTTTATGTCCTTCCAAATCTGATATTAGAGTTCCTAATTTACTTTCTGATATTGAATCAATAATCAGACCACTTAATGACAATCAAAAGGATGTTGTTAGATCTAAATGTACAAACGTCATTACAAACTTTTTACATAAAGAAGTCAAAGATCATTTTTTAAATAAATATTATTTACAAACTAAACTTTTTCTTAAAAATCATCCTGAAATTTATATTGTCAAAAGCGATAAAGGTAACGTAACTGTTGTAATGTATAAAGAGGATTACCTACAAAAAACTGGAGAACTCTTAAATGATACTAAGTATTACACTACACTTAGAAGGAGTCCTGTTTGTACTTTACAACAAAAAGCAAATTGTCTGGTATCAAAATTAAACAGTAAGAAATTTATTGATAATAAAAAAAAAAAAAGCAAAAGAACTCAAAATTTATAATTCTATTGCACCACGGTTTTATGCTCTACCTAAAATACATAAACCAACTTTATCTATGAGACCAATTGTTTCATCTCTATGCCCTCCAAATGGACCAATAGCACAGCTCCTCACTGACATCTTAACCAATGCTTATAATTTAAACAACAATTTTTACATAAAAGATTCATTTGATTTTAGTTCTTTCATTAATAATTTCCAATTACCACAAAATTATGTTTTAGTTAGTTTTGATGTAACATCTCTTTTTACTAATTTACCTTTAAATTTAATCATAAGTAGTGTTGAAAAACATTGGAATGAGATTTCGCAACATACTAATATTGACTTATTACATTTTAAAACACTCATCAACTTTGTTTTTGATTCTAATATTTTTATATTTAATGGTGTTTTTTATAAACAAATTTTTGGTAGCCCTATGGGATCTAGTCTTTCACCCATTCTAAGTAGCTATGTCATGGATGATGTTATTAGTGATTGTATCAATAATTGCACTTTTTTCATTCCATTTATCAAAAGATATGTAGATGATCTAGTTTTGGCACTTCCTAAACACAAAATTCTTGAAACAGTCAACATTTTCAACAATCATAATCAACATATACAATTTACAGTTGAGGAAGAGGTAGATAATTCTCTACCATTCCTTGACATGAAAATTGTAAGAAATACAGACAATATGTTGAAAACTAGATGGTTCAGAAAACCCATATGTAGTAATAGATTTATAAGCTATTACTCTAATCATCCAAATAAAATGAAAATGAACCTTATAACAGGATTAAAGGAACGTGTTTTAAAACTTTCTCATCCAGACTATCTACAAGAAGATCTTCATTTGTTAAAAAATATTTTAATTGAAAACTCTTATCCTCCTGATATGCTACATAGGATGCTTTTTTCTAATTTATTAAATATAAATAACTTAACACCATTTTTTGCTAAATCTCAAAACACTGTATCCAACAATCAAAACATATATTATCATTCACTACCTTTTATACCATCTTTAACTCCTAAATTAATACAAACATTAAAGGTTATTGACAATATAAAAATAGCAACAAAGAACATCAAAACTATTTCATCTTTA